CCGCCTCTCTGGCCTCAGATTGATAATTAGACTTTACAGAGTCACTTGGGCGAAGATTATTACAAATTATGCATTTTTAAAGTACCAAAAATGTTATGTAATTAAAGAACAGGTGGATTATATAGAGAATGAGTATTCCTGTGCCTTTACCCAACCTGGCCCCTGCAATAATGAGTGGAATAATGGACCTCTATACAACACAGAGGTAACATGGCCTAAGGGCAGCACAGTGTTCACTAGCTCAATACTCCTACTTCATTGTGGCATCTGTGCTGAGCTGTACTGGCCATAGAGAAAAATGGCAGTGTGCCCAGTGCATGTGTAAAGACAAAGACTAAGCAGACTGGCTACTGCTCTATGCAGCCAGATTCTGGCTTTAGCTTGCATATGCTGCAGATTATACAGGCGGGCTAATAAAAACGATAGTTAGAGTGAGTTCAGAAAAATTGATCTCAACACAAATTTACCAATTTCACCAGTGGCAGAATTTCACTGAACCAAAATCTCTCTGTTTCACTCATCCAAATTTGTTTTAAAACATAGTTCTTCTCTTTATTATCTACTTAAAAGTTGTGGGTTTTAAGGTAGTTTAGTTTATTTAGTGTTCTTTGTATTTGTATTTAGTTTTTCCCATTTTTTTATGCATTTCAGTTTTATTTGTATAATTGAATAGTTGGTAAAATAAAAGCACCCTTCCATCTAGTTCAACCTGTGTCAATGTGTCTGTGTTTATGTCAGTACCGTTTCCCATATCCCTGTAGACTGCATTCGCTAAGATGCCTGTTTAAGAGTTTTTTTAAATTATCGACACTTCCCGCTGACACCACCAACTAAAAAATAAAAACATGAGACTAAAAGGTTTTTTCTCTATGATAGAATCACCATTGATGTATTTTTATACTGCTACCATATCCCCTCTTCTCCAGGAAAAAACAAGTTGAATAATTTTAGTCGTTCCTCATAACCGAGGTCCTCCAGTCCCCTTATTATTTTTGTTGCCCTTCTGTGGACTCTCTCCAGTTCCACATCCTTCCTGAGGACTGGTGACTAGAACTGGACAGCATACTCAGGATCTGGCCGGATCAGAGTTCTGAAAAGTTTTGCAAAATTATAGTTTCATTTCTTGAATAAATACCCTTTTTAATGCATGCTAATATTCTGCTACCTTTGTTTGCTACATAGCATTACATGCTATTGCTGAGCTCTACTAAGAACCCCAGATCTTTTTCCATCGTGGATTACCGCAAAGGTTCTCTCCCTAGCGAGTAACTTGCATTTATATCTTTTTAAGTGCATTAATTTACAATTTTCAACAGCAGTAAAGCTCATTTGCTTGTGGGCTAGGTGCAGCATGATGCGGCGACAGTAATGTGTAGAGAAAAACAGAGGGCACACCGGCCTAGTGCATTACCTTTAATAAATGATAAAAGTAGGTATTGTACTTACAAAATGACAATACAGTCAAAGGTACATCAAGAAAGAACAGCTCTTGTCCAATCTGCACTACATGTCTGTCCATAATGGGTACTCTGGACCTCCAACAGGCTAACGCGTTTCAAGGACTTGCCTCTTCCTCAGAGCAGTAATGACACTGAGGCCCAAGATGTAGAAACTTATATATTTTAGAACTTGCAGAATAGTCACAACAACCCAGAGGGGAGAACACTTGTCTGGGAACTCGCGGTCCATGCAGCAGAGTTTCAGAGGTAGTATGCCCGAGATGAAGACAGCACCTAGCGAGGGAGGTGGAGTGCATCATGGCCTGTCCAACCCAAGAGGAAGCTTATAAAAGTGTAGACATAGGCTCTACAATTTTCCTGCTCCTCTGGAACCTCTCCCTGTAACAATTGGGTGCAATAGAGGTATGGAAGCTGTACGCAACAGCCATCTTGTTAAGGTCTCAGCCATTTTTGTTTTTCATGAGCAGTAATCTTCCTCCCCTCCTCTCTCCTCCTGAAAACTGGAATTTGAGCTGTAACTTGTAACAAACTTCAAAAGAGCCTCTTATCTTAATTAAAACACAAATAGACACCAACTCCAGGGTTTTAAACAGCGAATTAGTCTTGGCAGGATGTCTGTTTTCCATGAACTATAGAAAACACTTTCCTCTGCACTATCGTAAAACAAAAATAACTCAGTCAAGCCATCACACATGACCTGTAAGGCCATTAGAGCTCTAGGAATGCAGAGCGTGCCATAAAACGTCTATTCCACATGTAAAAATCCCACATAGAATTAATAGAATTCAACAGGAACAGGGCACATTAATATTTTAGTTATATATTTAAAAATAGGGAATATCATACGGAACAAGTCAAGGTCATACATGACTATGTTAGCAAATAGGAAAGGGGAGAAGGCAGTCTCTTCCCTCCTGGGTGGCAAAGGTACGCTGTGTTTGGTATCCCTGGGTTCGAAAAATGTAATTTTTAATAATAATCTGTCAGTTGCTAGAATACCACCTGCACATATTGGAAGTTAGTAAATATTAGTATGAAACTGTAGTTGGGTGACCTCCTAGCACCCATTCCCTAAACCGGATGATTGGTCAGTGATTCTTGGGCAACACCCCTTTGATATTATAGAAAGGGACTGACAGGACTTGTGAAGAGGGAGCTTTCCTTTAACATCAATCAAGGAACATCCTAACGGCCTTAAGAGCCAAGGCAATGTTTTGGCTTGGACAATTGGACTCTGCTAAAATCAGGACTTTGCAAGTATTCTGCCTTCTTAACTCCTTTCTTTTATTTCTATGTTGCTTTATTGTTCTCTTTATGTCTGTGTAACATCTTTAATATTTTAATTGCACCATTTTGACATTTTAGTAATACACACTAGTTTGAAAAGTGTTGAAATTGTCTCTAAAGCTTTTAATGCAAACTAAAGAATCCCTGTCTCTTGAAGAGTGCTACTGTATATAATAATCCTCTGAATATACCTGTGTGTGGTGACAGTGTGTGTTGCAGACGTTTTGCTAAAATCATAGTGTTATTGCTAGAATTTGTGCATTTCCTCCTTCTTTGTAAAAAGGCGGTGGTGGCAGTTTGAAGGGTTAATTGCATAATTAACCTAACCCAGTGACAATCGCTCTCAGGCTGCTGGCACATAGATTGTGGTCCTGCGAGCTGGAAAATCTTTGTGTAGGGTGCAGCTAAGAGTGGAATTGTTACACAAGTGACAGCGTGGTGTCAGATAGGCTGGTCCTTTGTTAGGAGTTGGTGAGAAGGGCAGGGGTCGGGCACTGCATTGTGTCACACTCCCTACCACTAGTGCTGTTCTTGACAGATGAGGTATCTCTCCCTGCACTAGCCACTTTGCAAATGCTCGTACTGCAGCTGGAGAGAAAGTCAAGAGAAATTTGGTTTCTCTTCTGGTTTCCTCGGTCTCCTGGAACAGCATTCTAGTTTGTTAAACTGCATCCAGGTGACCTTGGTAGCCATCTTGGGTCAAGTAGAATCTTTTTAGGTCCCTGCCACCAGGGTATTGCTCTTCTTAGCTTTGTACACTGAGATTGAACTCTATGAACATCAAGTGGCTAAGTGGTTAGTACGCACGTCTAGCAACACTAAGGTTGTTGGTTTGAATCCCAACCACAACAATACCTGCCTAGAGTTTGCATGTTCTCCCTGTATTTGTGTGGGTTTCCTCTGGGTACTCCAGTTTCCTCCCACACTGCAAAGACATGCTGCTAGGTTATTTGGATGTTGTTTAAAAACTGGCAATTGTATCTATATAGGTGTGATTTAGGGACTTTAGATTGTAAGCTCTTTGAGGGCAGGGACTGATGTGAATGTATAATATATAAGCATATTGCTATATATATGTACCTGTAATAAATATTTATACCAACCATTCATATAATTTATTAATAAATTATTCAAAATGGGTCCCAGGACAGAGCCTTGGGGACCTCACTCAGAATTCCAGACCATTCTGAGTAGACACTATTTTTTACCACCTTTTGATGCACCCCGTAACTAGCTTTCTATTCAGGTACATACATTATCGTCCATGCCAACAGATCTCAATTTGTAAATTAAGCATTTAATGCGAAACTGTACTGAATGCTATGACAAAATCAACATACACTACATCCACAGGCCTTCCTCTATCTAGATGACAGCTCACTTCCTCAAAGAATGCTACTGTGTAGTGCCTCCAATGCATTTAATCAAAATAGCATACGTTTTCCAATTTTCACTGACATTTCTGAGAAATTAAAACTCCAAATACTGCTGCAGGCGAGGCACTGTTAAAGTACACTATATTCCCAAAAGTACTGGGTTGCCTGCCTTTACACGCATATGAACTTTAATGGCATCCCAGTCTTAGTACGTAGGGTTCAATATTGAGTTGGCCCACCCTTTGCAGCTATAACAGCTTCAACTCTTCTGGGAAGGCTGTCTATGGGAACATTTGACCATTCTTCCAGAAGCACATTTGTGAGGTCAGGCACTGTGTCGGATGAGAAGGTCTGGCTCGCAGTCTCCGCTCTAATTCATCCCAAAGGTATTCTATTGGGTTGAGGTCAGGACTCTGTGCAGGCCAGTCAAGTTCCTCCACCCCATACTTGCTCCATGTCTTTATGGACCTTGCTTTGTGCACTGGTGCGCAGACATATTGGAACAGGAAGGGGCCATCCCCAAACTGTTCCCACAAAGTTGTGAGCATAAAAGTGTCCAAAATGTCTTGGTATGCTGATTCCTTAAGAGTTCCCTTCACTGGAACTAAGGGGCCAAGCCCAGCCCTTGAAAGACAACCCCATGCCATAATCCCTCCTCCACCAAACTTTACACTTGACAAAATGCAGTCAGGCAAGTACCATTCTCCTGGCAACTGCCAAACCCAGACACTTCCATCGGATTACCAGACAGAGAAGCTTGTTTGGTTGCTCCAGAGAACACGTCTCCACTGCTTTAGAGTCCAGTGGCAGCATGCTTTACAAAACTGCATCCGACACTTTGCATTACACTTGTGATGTAAGGCTCGGATGCAGCTGCTCAGCCATGGAAACCCATTGCATGAAGCTCTCTATGCACTGTTGTTGTACTAATCTGAAGGCCACACGAAGTTTGGAGGTCTTTAGTTATTGACTCTGCAGACAGTTGTGCACTGTACACTTCAGCATGCGCTGATCCCGTTCTGTCATTTTACGTGACCTACCACTTGATGGCTGAGTTGCTGTTGTTCCCAGTTGCTTCCACTTTGTTATAAAACCACTAACAGTTGACCGTGGAATATTTAGTAGCAAGGAAATTTCACGGTCAGACTTATTGCACAGGTGGCAACCTATCACGGTACCATGCTTGAATTCACTGAGCTCCTGGGAGCGACCCATTCTTTCACAAATCTTTGTAGAAGCAGTCTGCATACCTAGGTTTATTTTATATACCTGTGGCCATGGAGGCAATTGGAACACCTGAATCCAATGATTTGGGGGTGTCCCAATACTTTTGGCAATATAGTGTATATCTAAACCCTTTTTTTTGTTGAGGCACTGTTAAAGAATATCTAACCCCCCTTTATTTTGGATAGTGTGAGGAAGAAGCTTTTTCACATTTTTAGTGATGTCTGTGTCCCTGCTGGAGAGATTCTCCTTTTCTGTATTACCTGGTGACTACTGTAATGGGAAAATCTAACATTTTACAGTTGTCACCAAAATAGGAATTGTGGAGAGGACAAATCTTAAAATTAGGCCTGTTTGGATGAGAAAGGGTTTTGGCCTTTGCTTTCGAGAGATTTCCTCTCACTTCCTGTTCTGTCTATAGGACAGGAAGTAAGGGAAATCTCCCCAAAGGCACACAGATAAACAGCAAAAATAAATTCTCTACTCTGTCCCAGAGCTCTTGTATATGATGGAGGCTATGGAGGGAAATTTCCCCTGGGAATTGGAGGATAATATTGTATCCATAAAGTGCAATTTATTCTTATCTCTGGTGAGTGCGGAATACGTCAGTATTCCCAGGAAGGTATGGATCCGTGGAGTCTTTTCTCTGTATTACACGTATCCTAAATTTTTTTGGAGCACTATTTGCAAGTTTAAAAGGGACTTCATCACTTTTTGTATTTGGACACAAATTTTATAATTTTAAAAAAAAAATTCTCATTTTGGTGGATTTGGACATTTATTTTATAACCACAGAATTTATTATGATTTGTGTATAAATATTTTTTATTCATTTCATGTTTTGCGCTGTTTTATTGTTTCACTTGAATACACTTTAACTGCTTTTTTTTTTATATAATTTTTATATTTCTTTCATTCTTTTAATAAAAGAATGCTTTTAGCACAAATAATTAAGCCTTAGATACACTTTAACGTCTTTTTTATGCTTTTATTTTTTTTTTTTAATCTTTTTATAAAAGTGTGGTTTTATTCACTGAAAAAATGAAGTTTGGGCTTTAGATGCACTTTAACTGCTTTTGTATTTATATAAAAGTATAGTTTTGTTCACCAAAAATTCCAATGTTTTACACATAGAAAATAACTCAGTGAACAAAGATGGGGGCAGAAGGGTAGGTATATGGAAGAAAAGGTTTTTATTTTTTTTCTTTGATTGAAGAGAACATTATGTAAGACACATGAATGCTGTTTTCCTCCTGATTTCTCATCAATATCCAGGGCACTATGTCTTGTGTTCCAGTTGTTCTACCTGTGATGTGTCAAGTACTGCACACTGTACTTCACCCAAGCACTGTGCTCTGTCTCACCCAGAGATTCAAGGCTAAGCACTGTACATTCTGTTTTCCACCTTTTCAGCTTCATGCTGCGTTAATACTGAAAATAGTTTGTTGGTAGCAGATGCGCAGATATATATTTAAAAAGAAAAAGTCTGTCTAATTCAAAAGTTGGATTTGTTTTAAAATAAGTACTGTAGCTGTGAAATGTCTAAACAAAGTGCCACTTTACTGTCCTTCAAACTTTAGGGGGCTGAACTGTGGCAGGAGGGAAAAGAAAGTGCCCTGGTGTCAGTGGGAGTAAACATTGCCCCATCATTGGTATTAGGCAGAGTAATAGTGCCTCATCATTGGTGTCAGTGGGAGGAATAACATCCCATCATTGGTGCCAGTGAGAGGAATAGTGCCCCATCATTTTTTTCACTGGGAGGAATAGTGACCCATCATTTGTGTCAGTGGGAAGAATAGTGCCACAACATTGGTGTCAGTGGGAGGAGTTGCTCCATCATTGGTGTCAGTGGGATGAATAGCACCCCATCATTGGTGTCAGTGGGAGGAATAGTGCCCCGTCATTGGTGTCAGTGGGAGGAATAGTGCCCCATCATTGGTTACAAAGGGAGAAATAGTGCCTCATCATTGGTGTCAGTAAGTAGAGGAATAGTGCCCCATCATTGCTGTAAGTGGGAGGAATAGTGTCCCATTATTGGTGTTAGTGGGAGGAATAGTCCCCCATCATTAGTGTCACTGGTAGGAATAGTGTCCCATCATTGGTGTCAGTGTGAGGACTAGTGCCCTATTGTCAGTGTCAGTGTCAGGAGCTATGCCCCACTGTTGCTGACAGTGAGGGGTATAATGCCCCAAGGGCTGGATAAAAGCAAGCAAAGGACCACATCCAGCTCCCGGGCCGTAGTTTGGAGACCACTGCTTTACATGTTTCAGCACCTCTTTATGTTTTTTTTGTAATTAAAAACAAATAAACAATGTAACAGAGAATAAATTAAACCCATCATAAAGTCCTCAGAAGGAGTGTGTGTATGGGATATAAAGCATTCCACTTGGGGACATATGAAACCCAAAGACTATTGTGGCTTGTAGCAAGAGCAGTGACAGCTAAACTTGCCTTAAACGCTTGACTAGCTTGACTTAAATGCAGCCACCGGGGCCCTCTAAAACTCCATAATCAGAGTTCAATGAAGCTTAGATGCCCAGTATTCATCAGTTCACTGACTATATTTAACTATAACTCTATGACCAATTCCACAGTTTGACAGTGGGGCCAAAGATCTAGGAATGTGCACAGGTGGGCATTGCTAGTTCTCTGCTGCAACAGTAATCAACATTATCAAGACATGGGGTGACATCTCTGAGGACCTAAATAGACATACTTGACAGTGTTTGAAAACTGCTATTGCAGAGTTCCGTCTAAATAAAAAGGTATTGTAAAGAGAATAAAGTACTGTACCTGACTTTTTTCTACACCGCGTTCCAAATTATTATGCTAATTCTATTTAAGTGTCACAAAGATGAAATATTTTGTTTTTCAGTTTAACTCATGGATGGCATTGTGTGTCAGGGCTCTTTTGATCACTGAAAACAATCTCGGACACCTGTGATAATTAGATTGGCCGATGAGCCCAATTTAACCTCCCTAACGGTTTTCCCGAGTGTAGCTCGGGGTAAAATGTCTGTACCAAAAGCGGTAACCCCGTGCTACACTCGGGCTTACCATGCGGCGCTGCATAGGGAGTCCCTGCAGCACTTACCTTGTCCTGCGCTCCCGCGATGTGTTCCCTGCAGCGTCCCCGGCCATCTCCTCCGGCTGATGCCGGCATCCGGCTCCTGTGTTCCGGTCCCTGTGACGTCAGGACGTACGGGCGCCGCCGGCGGCAGCGGGAAATTTGAAAATTTAAAAAAAATGTCATTTTTTTCAAAACGATTTTACATAGTAAAACATTCTTGTTTTAACCCATTTCACATACATTTTGTCCCTAGTGCTTTGTCCTGTCCCCTGTCTGCGTTTTGATTGTTCTTTCTGCCTGGAAACTGAGAAAAGTCCATGGCGTCCAAAAAGTGTCCCTTTAGGTCAAAAGCGGGTTTAGATCAGCTAGAGAACAGCAATAGTAAATCAGAACTACTTGCAGAATTGAGTGATAATGATTCGTGGAGAAATTCGTCATCAGACACTGAAAACAATTTTGCGACTTTGCTCAGCGATGTGCGAACTTGGCGCTATATTTCAAATTTCAGTGTTTTTGGTTTGATTATATTATTGAATTAAATGTATTATTATTATATTGTTATTTTTTATGATTATTTATTAAATTATAATTTATGATTTTGTGTTTCAAATTTTATCATACCCGGGATGTTTAATAGACTCTTGTTCGGACAGATTTCAGTGAGTTATTCCTAAATATTACAGCCTACAATAAAAAAACTACATATTTCCATGCAAAATAATGGTACCGCTTTTAGCACCAAAAATCTGAAATAATCAGACCGCTAGGGAGGTTAAAGAAAAACTACTAAAGGACGGTGTTCCACATTATTAAGCAGAGCACCATTTTCAAGCAATATGGGGAAGAAAAAGGATCTCTCTGCTGTCAAAAAGAGTGAAATAGTTCAATGCCTTGGACGAGGTATGAAAACATTAGATATTTAACGAAAACGTAAGCGTGATCATCGCACTATTAAGAGATTTGTGGCTGATTCAGAGCACAGACGGGTTCGTGCAGATAAAGGCACATTGAGGAAGATTTCTGCCAGATCCATGCATCGGATCAAGAGAGCAGCTGCTAAAATACCATTACATAGCAGCAAACAGATATTTGAAGCTGCTGGTGCCTCTGGAGTCCCACGGACATCAAGGTGTAGAGTCCTCCAGAGTCTTGCAACTGTGCATAAACCTTCTATTCAGCCACCACTAACCAATGCTCACAAGCAGAAACAGCTGCATTGGGCAGAAAAATAGATGAAGACTCATTTTCAAACAGTCCTGTTCACTGATTAGTGCCGTGCAACCCTGGATGGGTCAGATGGATGGAGTAGTGGATGGTTGGTGGACGGCCACCCTGTTCCAACAAGGCTGCAACGTCAGCAATGGGGTGGTGGAGTCATGTTTTGGGCCGGAATCATGGGAACAGAGCGGGTCGGCCCCTTTAGAGCCCACGAAGGTGTAAAGATGACCTCTGCAATGTATGTGGAGTTTATGACTGACCACTTTCTTCCCTGGTACAGAAGGAAGAGTTATGCTTTCCGTAATAAAATCATCTTCATGCATGATAATGCACCATCTCATGCTGCAAAGAATACCTCTGCATCAATGGCTGCTATGGGGATAAAAGGAGAGAAAGTCATGGTGTGGCCTCCATCCTCCCCTGACCTCAATCCTATTGAGAACCTTTGGAGCATCCTCAAGCAAAAGATCTATGAGGGTGGGAGGAAGTTTACATCCAAACAGCAGCTCTGGGAGGCTATTCTGACATCTTGCAAACAAATTCAAGCAGAAACTGTCCAAAAACTCACAAGTTCAATGGATGCAAGACTTGTGAAGCTGCTATCAAATAAGGGGTCCTATGTTAAAATGTAACGTGACCTGTTAAAATGTTTAAAAAGTTAAAATGTTGTTAAAAGTTTGATTGAAATAGCTTTTGATTTCAGTAAATATGCTGCAAACACAACAAATGACAATTT